ACTCTTCTAACCGGTTCGGTAGATTTGACGAACCGGTTCTACTGAATAGGTGCGAACTGGTAGGAACCCACCTCTGGATGGGACACAACTGCAAATATAAGATCCTTGTGGTTGAAGCCATCCTTGATTTTGAGAGCTGGAAAATATGATCCCATATGACCTGGGTAGTTGGGGATATCTTTTCCTGGAAAATTCTGGAGGCCAGATGTTCCCTACTGGATAGAGCAGAGGTAGGGAATGATGGCCTCTTTATGACTTGGCTGGCTCGGGAATTCTGGGAGTTGAAGTCCACAAGTCACAAAAGGGCCATTGTTCCCCACCTCTGGGGTAGAGAGCAAGGATCCCAGCCTTTGGAACCAATGGGCATGTTTGGATATGCAGGTATTTTCGGAACAATGGTTACCACGGGAGATATGGCCAGACCCAAACACTTGTATCTACTAAAAATCAAATGAAGAACTTGCCTACAGCCCTACTCACCATCCCATTTTCTAAGAAAGCCTCTGTCATTGAAAATACGGCTTATGCTTAAGGCATTCTTTGCTCTGCAACATACAGGCTCCCCATTTTGGGGGGAAAAAAGATAATGGATTTTTAAAAGAAGGTTAAATGTAATAGTCAGCTTGTGGGGCTCAAGGAAATATATTGTGCACATTGTTGCCTCCAGGACATCTTACGGAACGTGTAGTAAATAGGCACTGGGACCTGTAGTAAATAGACACTGGGACGGATCGGGACTAAATCCTTCTCCCAGCGTAGCCTGCAGCATATCAAGACCTCAAAGCCGGTTTCCTCTGGTTGTTCTTTCTTAGATGCACATCCTGGCCCCAGAGGCTTTAAATAAATCCTAAATCCCTTCATCTTTCAGGCTCGCCAGCACTTCTTAATCCACTTTTTATTATGTATTTTGCAAAGACTAGTCTGGAAGTACATTTGCACTGCGATTTGTGAAGTGCTCCGAAGTCCTGCCTTTGGAGAGCCCAGCAGATTTCCCTCTACGTCTCCAGAGCTTTCCGCAGAGAAGGAGGGATCAGATTTGTTCTCAGACCAAAAAGGCTCTATTTTGTTTCCTTAAAAGATGCATTACTTCGCTATTTTGCCGTGGTGCCTGCAACCCCACATTTTTCTAGGTGAAGCTTTGCGCTTGCAAACTCAGGAGTTGTGGGTCTCAACTGTGACTACCAAGCTGTTTTTCCTAGCCAGCCTCACAGTTGTCTGCAGTGGGGCAGGTTGGAAAAAAAAAGGTGGGCATACTACTTTCAAATGGCACAATCTTCCACTCGTGCCCCGAGCTTGAATTGCTAGCTTAGTTGAAACCATTCCCGAGTTAGTAAACTTAAACTACCTTGATACGTGAGCTTTACAACAAGCCACGCAAACAGCTTAGAAGTTCAGGGGTGCACACACAAAAAGATGAGCTCTGCTTAAAAGAGCCGAGGTGGCACAGTGGTTAGAGTACAGTACTGCAGGCCACTTCAGCTGACTGTTAGCTGCAGTTCGGCTGTTCAAATCTCACCGGCTCAAGGTTGACTCAGCCTTTCATCCTTCCGAGGTGGGTAAAATGAGGACCCGGATTGTTGTTGGGNAATGGGCGGAAACTAATCAAGGAGAGAAGCAACCTAGAAATGAGGAGAAACTTCCTGACAGTGAGAACAATTAATCAGTGGAAAGACTTGCCTCCAGAAGTTGAGGTTGCTCCATCACTGGAGGTTTTTAAGAAAAGATTGGACAATCATTTGTCTGAAATTGCATGGGGTTTTCTGCCTGATCAGGGGGTTGGACTAGAAGACCTCCAAGGCCCCTTCCAACTCTGTTCTTCTGCCTTTCATTCAGGAGCAAGGGATTCTGCCTAGCAATCCCTTTTCTATATTTTAGTCCCTTGCAATAGCTTGAGCTGAAAGCGAACAAATAGTCGAGAGTCACCCAGTGAGTTTCTATAGTTCAGAATGGGTTGACTTCCCTAAGTCTCCTGATTCGTATCCCAGCACTTTAATCACCACACCACTTTGGCTTTTTAATTAACAATCTTCCAGAGTTAATCCTTCGTAAGGAGCCTGACTTCCACCTCTGATATTGAGTCATCGTTCCCCCATGCCGTTCCACCTCTGTCAAAATCCTCTCTCGTTCCAGGTCAGGGTTTAACCTGTCCTTCCTTAAACATCACCCTCATTATTATTATTATTATCATCATCCTTCCAGAGGCAGGCAGGCAGGCACACCAGAGAAGAGGACCTGGTCCCAAGGACTTTATAATCCAAAAAGTGACAGGTTCCATCAGATCGTGGGGTGGAGGGAGGGAAGGCAAATGTGTGTATTTTCAGCTACAGGAAAAGGTTTGAAAGAAACGTAAGTGGGAAGTAGGACAATATTTTTTTTAATGTAACCTTCCACATCATCCAGCTTGCAGATTGACTGCCTCTTCTTCTCGGGGAAGGGGAGGCACATCTGTGCACACATGTGTTGCCTTCCCACGTAAAGAGGCACTGAGGGACGGAGAAGGCAAAGGAACAATGGTCTCCTGGCAACTCCATCCACTTCTGGATTGCAGCTCCATTTGCTAACCCCTCTAACAGAGAGAGGAGCCGTACACACCGTAAGCTGCCCAGAGTCGCGGACATGAGATGGGCAGCTACAGAAATGAAATGAAATAAAATACCAACGGAGAAGGCTGCAAGATTCCCAAGGAATCTTGGCTTTCTCTGCTCTGCCATCCCTGCTATTCCTCACCATCTCTGCCTTTCTCCCCACAGCTGTCGCTGCAGCGGTCCAGCAGCTTCAAGGATTTCGCCAAATCCAAACCCACCTCTCCGCTGGTGAACAACAAGGCATTCAGCCTCGAAGAGGAAGAGGTAATGCCCGTCCATCCATCCCCGAAACCTTAGGCTCTTTCAATGACAGCTCTGTGGGCTTCTCATCATCCCCTGTGCCACCAATCCTGGCTCAGGTCCCTCTATTATCAGTAGCCAGTGCCTCCCAATTGTATCTACCTTTGCCATTGTTCTAACCTTACAGCAGGGATGTCAAACTCAAGGCATGCGGGATGGATCCGTCCCGCGATGTGGTCGGACCTGGCTCCCAGGGCCATCCTGGTCTACCCAATGCAAACATTGGGCCAATGTAGGTTTGGCCNCCTCCTCCTCCTCCCTGCCTGGATTAGTCATTGGGTTTCTTGGCAAGGTTTCAGAAGTGGTTTGCCCTTGCCTCCTTCCTAAGGCTGAGAGAGAAGGACTGGCCCCAGGTCACCCATCTGGCTTTGTACCCAAAACAGGACTAGAACTCACTGCCTCCCAGTTTCTAACCTGGTGCCTGAACCACTACACCAAATTGGCTCTTGATATACCAAAAGATACACCAAGAGAGAGGAAGAGGGTCAAGCTATTTTCCAAAGCACCCAAAGACCAGTCAAGGAACAATGGATGGAAACTGATCAAGGAGAGATTCAACCTGGAAATAAGGAGAGATTTTTTGTCAATGAGAACAATCAACCCCTGGAACAGAAGTTGCCTTCAAAAGTTGTGGGAGCTTCATCACTGGAGACTTTCAAAATTGGACTGTCATTAGTCAGAAATGATGTAGGGACTCTTGCTTGAGCGGGGGTTGGACTAGATGACCTACAAGGTCCCTTCCAACTCTGTTAATATGTTATCTGACAGATTGGCTCTTGATACAAACTGGGTTATTGCAGACCCTTGATTTCTTTATTTTTATAACAAAAAACAGAAACCAACCCACCCCTCACCCCATTGCTGCTTTTTGCTACTCTCCCAGGTGTTTGGATTCGGGAAACTGCAGTTGCTGGTCACCTGATGCTAACCCACTTCCTCTTCACAGTATTGATCTATGTGTCGATTTTGAGCAACTCTGCAAAACAGAGAGAGAGAGAAAGAGAAAGAGCTTCAGGGGGAGGGGGAGGGGCAATCAGACAGAACATAGCTAGATCAACTTCGAAAAAGCATTGGGACAACCCAGAATTCTGAAGTGAGCAGTGACAGATGTGCAGAGGTATCTCCAAGACAATTCTGCTCTTGGATTTCATTGGTTGAGCACTCCAGGAGAGAGGAATACACAAGCATTAAAAAAAATAAACAAACCACCTTTTAATGAGATTGCAAAAAACCAGAAATGGCTAGGCAGATTTGAAATCCCAGATTTGGTCTTGGAAATAAACAGCATCAAAAGCTTTTCCCTTTATGTAAGCATGTATGAGATTGCCAGCCTACCAGTTTTGGTCACCACGACGTAAAAAAGATGTGGAGACTCCAGAAAGAGTAGAGAGAAGAGCAAAGAAGATGATTAGGGGACTGGAGGCTAAAACATACAAAGGACGGTTGCAGGAACTGGGTATGTCTAGT